TGCAGCCTCACGTCTCACCCCAGGAGAGGCTCTGACTGGCTCTGCAGCCCTTGCTACTCCATCTGCAGGTCCCTGAAGAGCACAGGGCGGACAAGACTGAGTTGCTCAGTGGAACTCACTGCCCCCGCCAGTCGGTGCCTGTCACTGCTCATCTTGGGGTCCTGGCATTGCTCGGAGGCCTGGTGCTGTGCGTGGGAGCCGTGTTGGGCTGACCGTCCCTCCAGCCAGCTGGGGTGCCCATGGCACCCCCGGGGTTAAGCACTGGCAGCTGCACACATTCATACAACATGCACACATGGTTTCCCACAGCTGCTTGTAAGATGCAGTTTGAAAATTCACCGCATGGGATGATTTTGTGCAGCCACCGGCCTGAAGCTCGGGGCAGGCGCAGGTCTGGTCTGTGCCTGGGCCTCCCCGGGTGTGCCGTGCTGCTCACAGTGTGGGGCTGGGGGCTCCGGCTGGTGGGGATGCTGGGGTGCACGTTTGAGAGCAGGCCGTGCAGAGGGTGGTAGTGATGACTGTCGCCTGGCCAGAATCCCGAGAAGCTTTGCATGCTGTTTTTCGTTTTGACATCAACAGCCCCTTTTAAAAAGGATTTGCTGTTCTGTGTCGTTTTCCCAGATGGCGTTCTTGGGTCCACTGTGCGTAGCTTTCAAGGGAATACACGTTTTTTTATTTGGTCTTGACATTAAGTTATAATTCGCGGGCCTTCAGGACGTGGTGTAAGCCCAGCGCGGTGCTGCCTGCCTTCCATCCCAGCGACGGGAGGCCGAGGCAGGAGGATCACTTCAGTTAGGAGTCGGAGAACAGCCTGGGCGACATAGTGAGACCCCATCTCAAAAAATAAAAATAAAAATAAATAGAACATGGCGAGAGCTGTGGGCAGCGCCACACAGGGAGGCATCTGCACCGCGTGGAGAGTTCACCTGCAGCCTCCCGCTTCATCTCTTTATGGACTTGCCGACCCCCACCCCAGGATAGGGGACAGGCAGCCTCGTAAAGGCTGGGTGCATGTGGACACCCGGGGGCGAGGGGGTGCCAGCCAGGGCACAGTTCTTGGGTGGGTTCCCCCTCACAGGCCAGACCTCGTGCTGTTGTCACCTGCCACTGCAACTTGGCTGAAGCCAATTCCTGACGTCTGGGGGTCCGAGAGCTGGGGGTCCGAGAGCTGGGGGTCCGAGAGGCAGGATCCTTAGTCACAGGAACGTCGTCAAAGCCCCAGGACAGTTTCCAGGTGACTTCCTGAGCGCAAAGGTGGTGTCCGTCCCAGCGCAGAGAAGCACAGAGAGCCCTGGAGCCGCGTCCTCAGCACCCTGTCTCCAGCTTCCTGCTCCTGCTCCTAAGCACAGGGCCGTCTGCCCCAGCCTGAGCCCCCTGCCTCTGCTGTTCTGGGCTCGCAGGATGGCGTTCTGCCAGACCAGCAGCACCCGTGCCGTCCAGAGTGGATGGTGGAGGGGCCACATGGCCGTGGGCATGTGCCAGCCTGAGCCGGGGTTCCCTCCCCCGTGGGGTCTGCTCCTCCCCTGTCCTGGGCAGTGCCTGCTCACATACAAGTGGCTTCACACCAGCCTCCTTCACACCAAATTCTGTCCCCTTTGGTCCTTGACCCTTCCCTGTGCAACTTGAACCCTGGGTTGAGTGAGGCTGGGGCAGGGCCGCGTCCTCTCCTGCCAAGGCTGGTAAAACTCAGACTTGCCCCTGGCCCACCCGTGTGCGTGGTTTACCGCTGACCCCCGGAGGTCTCGACTTCATCCCAACCGTGAGAGGCCACTACAGTGGTACCAGCTTCCTCCCAACCGCAGTGCAGCCCCCAGGGGCCATTACTGGGCCCTGCCCCGCTCCGCAGGGCCACACGGCAGGGCCCAGGCAGTCACACCATGGTTAGAGCACAGTGGCAGTGGTTTCTTTGCAGACGCAGGCCCCTGGGTCAGGGTCGACCGGCATCGCTGGAGGTGCTAGGTGTGCTAGGCGCTTTGTAGGGGGTTTGTGCGGGGCAGGGCCTGGGCTCTGGGGTCTGTGTCTGCCTCTCCTGCTCTCCACCAGCTCGGGGGCCAGCGTGGTCCTGGAGACTGACCCTACATGACCTGGCTGCGGTCCCTGTGAGCCCTATGGCTGTGGCAAAATGGGTAGCGGCAGCCAGGGTGGCTGTGAGTGTGGACGAGACTCGGGTCACGGCAGGTGCACACAGCCGCACGCCCACGTAAGCAGGCCCGCGCACAGTTCACACTTGTGCGTACCCACTCACATGCTCGTGCTGCACACATACATGATGCCTCCCCAGGGTCTGCAGGGGCTGCTGTCCCCACGCTGAGCCCCTGCTTTGCAGTGGCCAGGCCCAGGTGTCTCATCTTCACCCGTGGAGGGTGAGCAGTGGTATGCCAGGCAGGCCTTCCGTATCTTCCCAGAAAGGGAAGCCAAACCCGGGGCTCTGTGTGTTCCCTAGACCCTGTCCTGCAGTGGATGGGGTCCCGCCAGCCCTGCGTGCTGTTCCCTGGAGAAGCAGCCAGGCCTAGTGCTACTTTTAGCCGGACACGTGTCACAGAGCCAGGTGACTGTGACCTCTGGGCCGTTTGAGGGATACACGAATCCTTTTCCTCTCCTCCCTCCGCAGAAATCTGTGCCTCTGACGCAGCGCATTTGGCTTTGGGAACAGGCCTGGCAGTTGCCGGCATGAGGGCAGGAATGCCTTGGAGTCTAGGTAGCCAGGAGGTGCCTGGGATGGCTGGAAAGACAGCCCTCGTGTGCTGACCCGCCGGAGGAGGGCGTGGCTGTGGGGTGGAGGCCAGCACAGGCGGTTGGGTCCCAGCTCTGCGACCGCTCTTTGGCCGCTGACCTGGACCACTTTGTCCTGCTCATCTGGGCGGCCTTGTGGGTCGCGCTGATGAAAAGGAGATATATCTGCGAAGCACCTGGCCCTGGTCAGTGCCCAGAGGGCCCTGTGGTCATAGGGTGAGAAGAGCCCAGCAGCTCCTGGAGGGCGAGCCGACCTGGAGAAGCTTCCTCTCCCAGACTCAGCTGTGCTGTGGGGAGGAGAAGTGACCCCAAGGCCAGCTGTGGTCCTGGGAGGCAGCATCGCCCGGTTAGGGCTTCCTGTACGGCGGTGGGGGGCTTGCTCTGGTTTCTGGCTGACCTTCTTGGGCACTTGGGGACCGTAGTGAGGGCTCTGCCTGCTGGAGCCAGAGGAGCCTCTGGCTGTGGGACCGTTGGTGGCCTGGACTTGAGTGGAGGAGGAAAGTCCAGCTTCAGGCAGCCCTTCAGGGAGGGGACAGGGATCGCCCGAGAGTGACCTGCCGGCAGCAGGACGGCCCTTCTGCTCTGTTTGTGTCTGCAGCACGAGGTCACTGCCTGGCACTGGAAACAGTAGCTCAGCAAATATTTGTCCATCAAAGAAGTGTGGGGGCCGGACCACCCAGTTCCGGCCCCTCCTCTGCAGACAAGGAAATGGAACCTTTGGCCACAGGGGAGGGTCTTTCATGCCAACTCCAGGGTTGGGCGGGCAGGCAGCACTAAAGGGCTGGGGCTGGGGCTGTGGTGTGCTCCTGTCCCGTGTGTTGCTGATTTAGGGCGGGTCTCAGGCTAGGTCCTGCACCTCTGAGCCCAGGCTGGCTGCACCTCTGCAGGGGGCTTCTGGTGTAGCTCGCCGGCCCCCTGGGCTGGTGGTGTGGTCACACCTGCTGGCCTCAGCGACCATGCTTCAAATGGGTCACAGCTCCATGGGAGCTTTGGCAGAGGGAGGCAGGAAACATCTGGCCGAAGAGGAAGGACGGCGTGCCCCTGCGTCTGCCGGGTCTCGGCCCCTCTGCTCCTCTCTCTGTGGCTCCCTCTTTGGTGGAAGCAGGTGGGGATGCAGCAGTGTGGTGAGGCCCTTCAGAGAGGGGTGCTCAGGCCTACCTCCAGGAAACCCCAACACCTGCGGCCCCACCTGCGGGGGACTGGAGCTGGGTTTCGTGGATACCCAGGCTGGAAAAGGCCTGTAACAGCTGCTCACCTCTGTGCCACCACAGTCTTGATTTCTTAATCTGCATTTTGCATATGGGCTGTGGAGATGTTAGTGTCCCCAAGTGCTGCTCGTGTGTCCCCAGGGTCCCAGCGACAGCAAGGCAAGCCCAGGCCTTCATGTGCCAGGGTGGCTGCCTGGTGAGCCGGGCGATGAGGCCAGGCCTCCTCAGACCCCCACACTCTTGGAGCTCAGAGTGATGTTGGGTAAACGTCTTAGAGGTGCTGTGGGGTGTGCAGCCTGGGTAGTGAGGCCTCCTGGGGTCAGAGAGGCCAGTGCTCAGTGCACACCCATGGGTGTCCCCTGGAAGAGGCTCGTGTGCTGTGGCGTGGGGTCAGCGCAGTCCGCCTGGCCTGACACGGGCGTGGGGTCAGCGCAGTCCGCCTGGCCTGACACGGGCGTGGGGTCAGCACAGTCCGCCTGGCCTGACGGGCGTGGGGTCAGCGCAGTCCGCCTGGCCTGACACGGGCGTGGGGTCAGCGCAGTCCGCCTGGCCTGACACGGGCGTGGGGTCAGCGCAGTCCGCCTGGCCTGACACGGGCGTGGGGTCAGCGCAGTCTGCCTGGCCTGACACGGGCGTGGGGTCAGCGCAGTCTGCCTGGCCTGACACGGGCGTGGGGTCAGCGCTGTCCACCTGGCCTGACAGGCAGGCTGGAGCTCTTCGCCGTCTGTGAATAAATCAGGTGCTAATGAAGACTCGTGTTTGTGCTCACTGTCGCGCCTGGGGTGGGGCACATGTGGGCTCTTCCTGTCTCCTGCCATTGCAGAGACTCAAGGTCCCTCCCAAAGATGCCAGGCATGCTGTGCATTTGAGGTCCCTTGTCATTCTAGAATGTTCTGTTACCTCTTGCTGTCTCCTCTCTGCCCTCCCTTCTGGCCCTGACACCCTTGGGGCCCCTCTGCTATGGTCACAGGGCTTCCCTGGGTGGCCGTCAGTCCAGGTGGGATGACAGTAGTGACTGGGAGCACCTGACGCCCCCCTTCCTGCTGTTCTGCTTCCCAGGAGATGTTCTCTTCCAGATGGCTGAAGTCCACAGGCAGATCCAGAATCAGCTGGAAGAAATGGTGAGTCCCACCCCAGCATGGCCTCGTGAGGAGGGGCAGGCGCAGCGGGAGAGCTGGCAGCACGCCTTGCCCATGTCCACTTGGGAACAGTCTGGGTTGTGCGGCCACACTCAGAAGCAGGGAGGGAGGGACCCTGGCTCAGGACACAAGGCACACTCCAAGGAGGACTTGGGAGAAAAGGGCACGGGCCAGACTGTGGCCACATGCTTTGCTGGCCACGGTGGCCTTCCAGGACACACTGGGCTCCAGGGAGAGTCTTGACCACAGCCCCAGCCAAACCCCGGTCCTGCGGCCCACCAGGCTGGAAGCCAGAGGGGAGCACACAACCAGGGCACCCTGCCGGCGCTGGTTCAGAGCATCCCGTCTAAAGCCCGGGGTCCAACCCTGGTTTGAGTTCAGGCCCATGGCTCCTGCAGCCCCGCAGCCTGTTTCGGAGTGCTCGCCGGCACGCCGTGGAAGGAGGGGAGTGCTGTTTCTGTTTCCCTTGTGAGAAACGGAGCCTGTGGCTGTTGGAGGCCAGGTTGTCTGACGTTCCAGACCCCTGTTCAGCATTCACTCCAGCAGCTCCCCCAACCCAGCTCCGTAGGCCCCACCCAGCTGTGCAGGGCCACAGCTCATCAGTCGGGGGAAGGGGTTGTCCTGCACAGTTGGGGCGCCCGGTATCCCGTGACCACCGCCCCAGCCCTGCCCGGCCTCCTGTTCCGGTCTGTATGTTGGAGCTGACTGCTGATGTGTTTTTTATCCATGTCCAGCTGAAGTCTTTTCACAACGAGTTGCTCACACAGCTGGAGCAGAAGGTGGAGCTGGATTCCAGGTACCTGAGTGTAAGTGCACCCTGGCCGCGCCTGCTGGGGAACCGTGCCCGGGCTCCAGCCCTCCCCGCTGCCTGCCGCTCCTTCCCTCCACTTGAAGGGAGCTTCCCCTGAGCTCCCATCCCCAGCTCTGACTTTATTGCCCATTTGGACCAAGTCCCCCTGGTGTGCCCCAAATGCAACCCGTGGGTGAACCCGTTGCCTCTGACGCCCCACGTGCTCGGTTCCATGACCCGGCTTTGGCCACTGTGGAGAAGCTGGTGCTTGACTCTGCTGCCTGGGGGTGCAGGAGCTCATTCTCTAGCCTCTGCAGTTTCGCTGGGCTCTTGGCCCGGCCTGCCCCACGGCCCCTCCTGTCAGCTGGCAAAAGGCTTGGGGCTGAGGCACTGCCTGAGGGCTCGGGGGTCATTTCTGGCTCTCATGGTGGGCGGGAGGGGTGGGTCTTGGCTACTTTCTCCAAGTCTGATTTCATATTTGGGGAGCAGAGAGCTGCTGTGTGGTGGGGTGGGGTTGGGCTGAGGCTTCCATTGTGCTCTTCATCTCTGATTTGCAGCTGAGCCTGTGCTGCCGGAGAGCGAGCCTGGGAGGGAGTGGCAGGGCTGCCAGGGGACCCCCTCAGCCAGAGAGCGAGCCTGGAAGGGGAGGGGCGGGGCTGCCAGGGGACCCCGCTGTGGGGCTTATGGGCCTCGGCTCTGTGTTTTGTTGTTTGAATCAGGCTGCACTGAAGAAGTACCAGACGGAGCAGAGGAGCAAAGGAGACGCCCTGGACAAGTGCCAGGCCGAGCTGAAGAAGCTTCGAAAGAAGAGCCAGGGCAGCAAGAATCCTCAGAAGTACTCCGACAAGGAGCTGCAGGTAGGCCCGCCACCCCTGCCACGGTGCCTCTCCCGCTGCCTTGGGACTGCTTGCCGCTCGGCCCTCCTCGGCCCCAGGGAGCAGACAGCAGCCCGCCAACTGGGATTGGCAGAGGCAGGCTCTGCCCCTGGTAGACCTTGGGAGGGGCAGGCCCGACACCCCCAGGCTGTCAGGATGGTCGGCTCTACCTGCGGGGCTCTGCAGCCACCCGGGGTTGCTGAAAGTTTCTCTGCCAAAGGAGCAGAAACCCAGATGGAGTCCTCCTACCCATGTTCCCCCGATCCCTGCCCAGGAGTCAGGCCCCAGACTGTTCCTCTAAGCGGTCACGACCGCTGCCTGCAGGGCTGGGTGCCCAGAGGCAGGCGGCGTTTCGGGTTCCTCGAGGGAGCGGTGTCAGTGTTGCCACGGTGCTGCCAGCGTGGCCGGTGCTGCGTCCTGAGTGGGCTCGGACTTCGGGAGGTCTGGCTGATGATGAGCATGGCCTGATATGTGCACACCAGACCCAGAAACCCCTCACCCGCTTGCCGGAGTCATAGTGATGCAGAAGAGAAGGGAAACACTCAGAACAAGCTGGACAGTCACTTGTAGAGGAAACACCAGGAAAGCCCCTGGCCAGTCATCCAGGTGGAAGCTTCTGGGCCGCACCCTGGGGTGGGCAGGGTGTGGCTGTGGGTGAAGCCTGGGCCTCCAGGCCACACCCTTCCTGCCGGAGATCAGGTGTTCAAGCCATGGCAGCCCCGCACACACCTGTCTTGTGTGCGTGCGTCTGCGTGTGCGCGCCACTGTCTCCTTGGTGCGGGACGTGGGTGCTCACAAATGCTTGTGGTCTCACCCTGGGACTGGAAGGCCCGTTCTTGCTCAGAGCTTGTGCTTTGCTCTCTCCTTAACTGCAGGGAAGCCAAGCAGTTGTGCCCATATCCTGTAGGCCAAGCTAGAGGATTTCCAGTGTGGGGTCACCTGCTGAAGCCAGAATCGGCCCCAAAGTAGAGGACGGGACTGGGCAGGAGCAGATGAGAGAATAAGTGAGGCCCTGTGGGGGTCCCGGGGTGCCGCGGCTGTCCACAGTCTGCCATCAGCCATGCTGGGTGCACAGCTGCAGGGACACGATTCTGGCTATTCTCTGGGGTGCCCTGCCCTCTCCGGCCACATCTTCCCATGTCCCCAGCCTTTGTTTTGATCCTGTTTTTCACTCCAGGTAAGCTGTGATGCGTCTTCTCATCCTTCCCATCTTTCACTCCGGGTAAGCCGCAATGGGTCTTTCTAGTGACTGTCACCGCCCATCTCCTTGGCCTTGATGTTCATCCCTGAGGCTGCCACAGCGAGCCTTCCGAGAGCTGTTTCTGTGAACAGATCCCTCTCGGTGGGAATAGTGGGTTGAGGTGGAGTGTGTGTGTTGCTATATACTGTCTATTTTTCTTTTCCTCCCTCCTTGGAATGCTTTGCTACTTTGCTTTCTGAAGACTGAAGCAGAAGAATGAGGCCCCAAGGCCTAGCAGGGGAGGAGCAGGGAGGAGCTCCCACCTCGGAGCAGGCCAGGGCAGCACAGGTGGGAGCAGCCCCTGAGCTCCTGGGCCAGGTGCGAGAGCTCTTAGCAGGAACTTTCCTGGGGCTGGCTTGGTGGCCTGGGCACGGGAATACTGAGGCCAGCTCAGAGGGCTCACCTGCCTGCCAGGGTTCCAGGAGCCTCCCCTCTCCCCTTGAGGCGCCGTGAGTTTTGGTAACAGCCTTACTGAGACATGATTCGAGTTACCAGCAGTTCACCATTGTGAGGGCACAGTCCCGGGATCTGGAGTGTTTGCAGCTGTGCATCCATCACTCAGTCCTGGCCTTCCAGGCTGTCTCTGTCCTGATGGGCCAGAACCAGGAGAGGAACCCGACAGGGTCAGGAATGATGGCAGCTTTCTTGTCTGTGGCTGCGAGTTGCTGAGAGAAATGGTCCCCCAGCATCAGTGTGGGGGCCTGGGCGAGGGCCATGTGGGCAGGGAGGGCAGGCAGGGCTCTGAAGCGCATGGCGGATGGAGGTTGCAGTGGGTGTGAGGCGACAGTGGCCTAGCAGCTCCCCTGGAAAGTCCTCTGCCACCCGGGTGCAGAGGTGCTTGGCGAACCTCATCCTCCTGGCCTCCCAGGGCCCCTCCCAGGAGATGTGTGATGCTGGCCTTTCTTCCTGGGCCCCAGGGACACCTAGGCTCTGCACCGCTGTGGCTCCCCATTCCTGGCTGAGTGACCTTTCTCCAGAAGCTGCAGCTACTCCTTCCCACTCACCAGAGGACCTGTGGGTGGCCCCAGGTTGGCCGTCCCCACCCAGGCACAGCCTCAAGGCCCTGGGGTCAGGCTTAGGCTTGGACCCTGCTCTGTCCCTTATAGGTCACATGGCTGCGCAAACACCAGAGCTTCTCTAAGGCCTAGTTTCCCCATTTGTGTCCCTGCCTTTCTCTCCTGAACGCTGACGGGAAGGGCTCTGGGCCCAGGATGAGCCGGTGTCGGCCTTCTCACAGCGCCTGTGGGGGCTCTCCTGGACCCACCTTCCTTCTGTGTTAGTGGGAGACTTTTAACCACCCAGGTGTTTTATTTTTCCGGAGGCACCGAGTTCCTTCCGGAAGGCCAGGTCTCATATTTCTCCTGCATCCCACTGGGTGCCCTGCACAGGCTGGTCACGCGGTGGATGGCTAATAAGGACTCAGTGGTTTCGAAACAACGTTTTGGGGTGGGAAGCAGAGGGAGCCACAGCCCGGTGCGCCTTCTGCTCCCTGTGGCCTGGAAGCCCAGGAGGCCAAGCCCGAGGGGGTTGTCAGCATCTCCTGCCCCACAACTTGAGTTTGAGGGGCTGGGGTACTCGGTGTGTGGCTGCACACGCCACCCTGAGCTGGGGAGAGGCTGCTGCCACTGTCCTGGGGTGAGTCCTGGGGTGAGTGCCGGGCTGCCTGGCGGGGATAAGCTGCCAACCCCGCTGCTCCAGGTTCCTTGGCACCCAGGGCTGTTCCTGCTGGTTCCCATTGCCTTTGTAAACCCAGCCAACGACTCTGACTTCTGTTTGAGGGTGTGGCTCTGGGACCCCAGCTGTGGTATGTCCTCCCCACTTCTGAAGAGAGGAGGCACCCTGGCCTGGGGAGCTGGGCTGGCTGGCCCCCATCCACTCAGTGTGCAGCCCTACCCCTCCAGTGCACTAGTGCGGCCCCGCCCACACCGGTGTGGCCCCGCCCCTTGGTGCAGGAGGCCCCACCCTTGCTTGTGTGGCCTCACTTCTTGGTACAGGAGGCCCTGCCCCTCCAGTGCACCCCACTCCCGCTTATGTGCCCGCCACACAACACAGGCCCTCCTAGCTGGGCCTCAATCCTGGCATGCCTCGTAGGGGCTACTGGCCTGGGGCCTAGGATGTCAGCAAGATCTTGGTGGTGGCAGGGAAAGGGCCTGTTGGATGCCCTCTTGGGAAAGCAGAGGTCTCTTCACTGGTCTCCCCATTCCTAAGGTGGTTGATTGCTTCCCAGCTGTTCTACAGACCAGCCCAGTAGCTGCACCCCACGCTCGGGGCAGCCTTGGGAATCTCCACCTGGAGAGTATAGCTCGTGGGCCTGGCCTGGAGATCCCTGCCTCGGTCCCTGGACCTACCTGCCCCCAGCTCTCCAGTGTGTGCCCTGTGGGGTCACTGGTGACAGTAGCCTTGTCCTCAGTCCTGAAGACACTGGGAGAGGCAGATGTGTCCACACACCATTGGGGTACAGGGCAGGTGTCTGGCCCATTTGGGCTTCTGGGGCTGCTTTCTCAAGGTGGGCAGCTGGTCTGCCAGAAGTGGAAGTGACTCCAAGTGTGGCCTGAAACCCATGTCAAGCCAGGGCCGTGTGTAGCAGAGAAGCAGAGGCCTCCGTGCGGTTCCCAAGCTGTCCCTGCCACAGAGGCCTTTCCCTTGGAGACTCTTGAGTGCTCCTGGGTCACCAGCCCTGGTGCAGCTGAGGGGGTACCTCATGCGGTTGGAGGTTGGTTAGGGAGCTCTGTGGGATGGGGGTCCCATACCGACAGGGTCCCCCACATCGGCTGCCGTTGGTGAAGGCGAGGTGGTGGCTGGCACCTGACTCTGGTCTTCGTGGGTGTGACATGCAGGGTCATTGTCAGGTATGGGTTCCCTCAGCACCTGAGAGCTGGGTGTCTTGGAGTGATTGCTGGGGTCTCCAGTGGGCTTAGAAACCTGGTGCCAGCTGCATGTGCAGAGCACCAGGCTCCTGGGAGCTGTGAGGCTGCCAGGCAGCAAAGCTGGGCCTGTGGCATGTGTGAGGAGCAGCTCCATGCTCCAGGGTGCCCACAAGGCCGAGGCCCCCAGTGCTCACTGCCCTCCCTCACGGCTAGGCTCATCGTGTGGCCTTAGCAGAACCAAGGATACAGGACAGCAGGCCCTGGTGGACAGAGGTGGGGCTGCAGAGAGGGGTGGGCGTGCGGTCAGCCAGGCCCTGCCCCAGAAAGGCTGGTAGAGTGGCTTTCTCTGTCTGCCTGCCAGGGTGCCCTCGAGTGGGGCTGGGCCGGGGCCTCTTGTGTTTAAGAACTGCTCGTAATTAAGATGGTGTTTTGGGATTTCCGGAAAAGAAGTAATTTTAGTTATAGGTCAGGGCGCCAGAGTTAGGAAGCATTTGAGGCGTTTGTTAACTAGGACGGGAGAGCTTTACGTAAGGGGCACGGCCTGGGGCTGTCGGGCCAAGGGTGCCTTCACTTCCTGGGAGTGTGGTCACTGCCACGTTTGCTGGGCCAGGTGCTGACAGACGTGCCCATCTGAGTGGAGGGGATGTTCTCCAGAGCACATGGGGCGTGGTGGACAGGCTGGGGTAGAGGACACCTTCTCTGTGGGTTTACTAGTGTGCCTGTGGGGCGTGGTCACAGGCTTGGTCCAGCTCCTCCTCAGAAGAGAGGGTTGTGGCTATTGCCACAGGGCCCAGGATGGGGCCCAGAGCAGAGCCCAGACTGTGCCCACCCCTCTGGGGCAGGGAGGGGGACAAGGGGGATGGCAGGTATGTCCA